TCCCTGGTGGCGCAATGGGTTAAAGCACAACAGCACTATGAAGCTATAGCAGCCACTGCAGCATGAGTTCAATCCCTGGCCAGCGAGCTGACCCACATGGCACAGCAGACCTCTCCTGACCCGCCCCCTGCTCCCCTCAGCAGTGTCCTTTGTCGATCTGCCTGTTCTGCTCCCCACTCTGCCTCTGGTGAGTCCTCTCACCCCCTGCACCTTGACTGTACCCCAGTTCTGTACACATAAATAAATCTTTTAAAAAATGTTAATCTGAATCTACCCATCCACGTCTCCCTATAATAAGTTCCTGCTCCTGCCCTAAACCATTCAGTGACAGTCCCCATCTTTTTGTACTACTCTGTACTCCAGACACACTGGCTTTGCCAGTGTTCCCTCTACCCCAGGGCCTTTGCATATGCTGTCCTCAGTTTCACTATCCCTCTTTGCTTGAGTAACTCCACTTATCCTTAGAGGAATCCTTTCCTGACATCTTCTCACCCTTCACCCTTCTCTTACCCTTCTTATATGTTCTTACAGCAGCCTTTCTCTTCCTTCCTCACTCAGCTTGCATTCTTATTTGGAGGTTGCTTATTTGCTTAAACTCTTGTTCCCCTAGGAGATTGTAAACTTTGCGACAAGAACAATATGTGTGTTTTAGCTGACCATTGGATTCCTAAAATCCAGTATATTGCCTGGCACATAGCAAGTGCTTTATTCATACTTGCTGGATGACTGCATGAGTTCATATAATCCTCCTCTTGATTCTTCCCGAGGCCAGTTTTGACCGCCTATAGCACCTGCGCTCCTGACTTTATCAGATAAAGAGGCACTGAAAGACATCAAGTGTTCTAGAGCCTGACTGACTGGGTTCAAATCCCCCCTTTGCCACTTCCCAGCTGTGTGACAGTGGGCAAATTCCTTGACATCTCTGTAGTTTCTTCTTCTCTAAGATATTAGTAAAAATAGTATTTGTCTTGTGGGGTGGTTGTAAGGGTCAAGAGTTAGCTTCTAACACACTAATTAGATTAGTGAGAACCCCACTAATCTTTGTTATTATTAGTATGATTAATAGAAAGAGTTTAGATTCTGAGGTTAGATGAATTTGGTTTTCTCCCATTTTGTACGTCATTCCCTTGTGACTTTGAACAAGTCAAGTCATACCCCAGGACCTATTTCCCCACCCATCAAACTGAGACTGCAAGGCCACTGTGGGGGTGAGACATGCCCATTGCCTGGCGTTCTCCTTCCTGACGGGCTGAATCAGTCTCTGTTGCTTTGTAGATAAAAATTCCCTGAATATTGGTTTGACATCTGCCTTATTTAGGGCTGTTATCCCAGTTCCTCTGTACCTGGTACAGGGTGTTCAATAAATAGTTCTTTACTGAATGAATGAATCAGTGATGATGGGGCTTCGTGTCCGACCTGAGACTAGTCCCACACCTAGCATCTAATTTCAATACATATTTGTTGACAGAGTAGATTTTCTAAATGGCTATTCATTTCCTTTCCCAGTCCCACTTGAGTTTCTGAATTAAACCCAGAAAGATACTTAATGACTTCTCCTAAATTTTTTTTAAGTTTTAGTGTTCGCATCTGTGAAATGAGGCTATTAATAATATCTCCTCCTTAAGATTGTTCTGAAAAGTGAAGCAATATGTATTTAGCACATAAAAGATGTTTGCTCAGCCTTCCCTTCCCTCAGCCTCAGTTTCCTCATCCATGAAATGGGCATCTACATTCACATTCTTTCATTCACTCAAAAACTCATTGCCATGTGCAGGGCTTGTAGTTAAGACCCAAGGCAGTTCCCCTGCCTTGGGGAACCCAGTGTCTCCTGTGGGTCAGCACCCCAACAGTAAAATTCCAGAGAGAAGAGTCATGGTAGGTGTGAGATCTAGCAAGGCCAGCGGGTGGGGATGGACATCTCCAGGTCTTAGCCAGCTGGCTAGGGAGAGTAAAGTATCATGGAGGCACCAACTCCGTATAATCAGTTTGAAATGGAATTGTCTCCTCTGCCCTCAGATTGTTGTAGCCTGAGGCCATCTGTCCTGTTGCAGACCCAGTTTCTCATCTGGCTCAGCAGCTCCAGACCAGCCTGGTCTCTGGCTTCCTCTGGGAGACCAACAAACAGCAGTGTAGGCAGGAGATAGAGTGTGTGTGGCGAATGGGCTGCTCCTGGCTCAGGGAAGGCTCCGTAACCAGGGCCTTCTCGGAGTGCAGGACAGTGATTCCCTATACTCCAATGTGAAACAACATGGGTGCCCACAACAAACGCCAGGGTCCTGCCTGCCTCTTCAAAGATGAGCCTGGCCTGTCCCAATGGGGCAAGCCAGTGAGATTAGGGGCCAGGGGAGTCCAGGCCGGGTCTTGGGTCTCCTGGTCCAAACAGGTCACTTGCTTGTCTCTGATGTTCCAGGGTTGGTTCCAGGGAACTGATTCCTGCCAATCCACCTCACTAGAGACTGAAACATCTGAATTAGAATTTTGCATTTAAGCTGGGCGTGTATGTGTGGTGTCTGAGGGACTATTTATCACCAGCCGCCAAGTTATTTGCACCTGTTACCCAGAGTCTTATTTCCAACTGAAGGAATTTGCCAAGGGCATTTAAATATCAGGGGAGGGTCTGCTGACAGGCGGTGACCTGACCAGAGGGAGAAGCTGCTTGAAACCCAAAGGCCCAGCCCATCCTGAAAGACCTCAGGGAAGAAGCAAGATTTACGAGGTGAGAGCCTGCCTGGGTCGGTTCTTCTGTCGGTAAAGGCCTCCCTGCAGTATTTTCTGTCTTGTCAACGCTGCATTTCATTTTAAATTGCAGCTGAAAGCAGATATTTTCCCTCTTGCCTATTACACCTCTTAATTTGTCTCTCCCTCTGCTGTTATTTGTCTCTATAAAGTGTTTTGCTTGAAAGACCCACACAGCACAATGTTGCTTTGCCCTGGGTTAGGTTTAACGTTCTGGAGAGACACAGAGAGACTTGAGCGCAGGCAGAAGGATGTCAAGGCCCCTCGGTGAGACAGGCGTTGGGAAACACATACCAGATAGTGTGTCCGCCTCTGCTGTGTGATTGTGCACACACCAACATTGTACCCAACATGTAGCTGTGCCTCTGTATAGTTGAGTCCCACCATCGGCGTCCATTCCTAAATTATGTCGGTTTGTGTGCAAATACACACAACCTAGCCAAACCTGAGTGCGTTTGTGCCCGGGCACTGGCTCACACGCGTGCACAGAAACACGTGTGGCATGTAGGCATGCTCCTCACAGGAGGCACGTGGCCTCATGTGCACAAGGCCAGGGCCCCTGCTCCCCTGCCCTGCGCCGGCGCTGTCAGCACCTCTCCCTGCCCCACCCAGGGGCGCTGGCCTGGCTTGGAGCTGTGGAGAAGGCAGGCAGAGCAGTGGTCTGCGGGGGAGTGAGGGGGCCGGTGGACACACTGTCTTAGCCCGGCCCAGTTGCGGCCACAGCTTTCTGGCCTGGCTCCAGCCACCCCTCGCTCACAGCCTGCCACAGCAGCAGCACGCGGCTCCTGCGCTGCTGTCCCCGAGGAGCAGGGGCGCAGGCCCCCAACTCCCTGCCGATCCCGCGCTGGCCTTGAGGGGTGAGAGAGGTTACCGAACGATGGCCAGAGCGCTCCAGAACAAGCTGGTCTCCCGGGCCCCTCCGAGGGACCACCAAGCAGGGCGGTGCGGGCGGGGGATGGGGGTCTGGGTCGCTCCCAGCCCAAAGAACGCTGGGCAGTAACCAATGGGCGACTGCGGCCCAACGGGGATCCCTCTGAGGCAGCCAATGACCTCGCTCCACTCTCCACCCCCGCCCCCGCGAACCCCGCGCCGCTGGACCATTGGTGCTGGTGGGATGGGGGAGTGTGCGAGGCGCTGGCCTTTTGAGGGAGGGGGCGTGGCCTGGGGTCCCGTCCCCTCTCCCCACCCTCGCCGAGGCTCGCCCTCCCA